AACCACACCCCCAAAGCTGCAGTCTTTAACAGAAACCACTCAGCAGGTCACCTATCTCCATCACCCAGACACCCAGTCCCAACGGGATCCAAACCCCAAATAAATCCGTTTTACTCTGTATAAAACTTATCCAGGGTAAACTCATAAATTGTTTGCCCTCTATAACACTGATAGATAGATATGCACAGCTGTTCGCTCCCCCAGGTATGAATCACTTATTCTGGCTTTAGCAATAAACAAAAGTGATTTTATTAAGTATAAAAAGTAGGATTTAAGTGGTTCCAAGTCATAACACACAGAACAAAGTAAGTTAACAAGCAAAATAAAACAAAACACATAAGTCTAAGCCTAATACATAAAGAAACTGTTTAAGGGTAAAATCTCACCCTCAGAGATGTTCTAATAAGCTTCTTTCACAGACTAGGCTCCTTCCTCATCTGGGGCCAATTCTTTCCCCAGTACAGTCCTTGTTAGTTTCAGCAGGCATCTTAAGTGAAAAGCAGGTACTTTCTCATGACTGAGACCCCCCCTTGTTCTGCTCCACCCCCTTTTATAGCTTTGGCACAAGGCGGGAATCCTTTGTCTCTCTGGGTCCACACCCTTCCTTCTAAATGGGAAAGTACCATATTTAAGATGGATTCCAGTATCATGTGACATGGTCACATGTCCTGTGTAGACTAGCCCTGACTAAAGTCAATATATACCACATCTACCACTTCCCCCCCATCCACAAGGCTTGTTACCCTGTCAAAGAAAGCTATTAGGCTGGCTTGACATGATTTGTTCTTGACAAATCCATGCTGACTGATATTTATCACCTTATTGTCTTCTAGGTGTTTGTAAATTGATTTCTTAATTATCTGCTCCATTATCTTTCCCAGTACAGAAGTTAATCTGACTGGTCTATAATTCCCAAGGGTGTCCTTACTTCCCTTTATTTACTATATAGCGTCCCAGGGCTCACTGGTGAGTTTCCCTTTGCTGTGTTACAGGACAGTGGCCCTCTGACCATCATCACCTATGTGGGACTGACCTTCTCCCTGCTGTGCCTCCTCCTCGCCATCCTCACCTTCCTCCTGTGCCGCTCCATCCGCAACGTCAGCACCTCCATCCACCTGCAGCTCTGCCTCTGCCTCTTCCTGGCCTACCTGCTCTTCCTCACTGCAGTGAAGTGCACCAGCATTCGGGTCTGTTATCCACTTTTATTCTTGGTTTAAATTTGAGCTGTGTCCAGATCTTCTGTCAGCATTTCTTATGCTCCCCTCACCCCAGCACCTTTTTATACCCTCAGCTGGATGGTAATGTTTATTCCATGCTCTTTAGTCCTGCAGAAATAATTATTTACTCCCCATCCAGAAGAAATCTCTATGGGTGAAACCAGTCCTTCCCTTTTCCTTGTGGGCTCCTTCCTTCATCATTCAGACAAAGGAACCCCGATTTCCAGAGTCACAGTCCCCTGCCTGTCCTCTCTGCCCCCTCACTGATGGGCAGATGCAAGACACCTATACCCTGAAGCAGATCTAGAGAAGAGAACCTACACCCTCCAGGTCTCTCCCTATTATGAGGACTGGGCACTTGTTTATGTCCCTGCTCCCTTTCCTAGGATTCCTCACAGTATCCAACTCTTTTCTGAGTGGAGATCAGGACCGGGCTGGACTCTGAATGATTGAAAGGGCCAGCCAGCTTGCCCTTAGACAAGCCCCCGTAGACCGAAGAACGTATTGTCTCTGGGAGAGTGCCATAACTATTTCACTAGGAGGGTGGTGAAGCACTGGAATGCGTTACCTAGGGAGGTGGTGGAGTCTCCTTCCTTGGAGGTTTTTAAGGCCCGGCTTGACAAAGCCCTGGCTGGGATGATTTAGTTGGGAATTGGTCCTGCTTTGAGCAGGGGGTTGGACTAGATGACCTCTTGAGGTCCCTTCCAGCCCTGATATTCTATGATTCTATGATAACTAGAGAGATGTGTTAATAAAAAGCCCTATGTGATCCTCCACCCACCTCCAAATTCAGTATTTCCCTTCCCGGAAGCAGTGTCCCTGAGCTCTCTCTCATCCTGTCCTCAGGTGGTGTGTGCTGTCATTGCTGGCTTCCTACACTACCTCTTCCTGGCCTGCTTCACCTGGATGTTCCTGGAGGGGCTGCACCTCTTCCTCACCGTCAGGAACCTGAAGGTCGTGAATTACACCAGCGCTAGCCGGTTCAAGAAGAGATTCATGTACCCGTTTGGCTACGGATTCCCAGCCCTGGTGGTGGCTATTTCGGCAGCGTTGAAGCCTGAAGGCTACGGAACTAACGAATAGTACGTGCAGCGCCCATCCTGAAGGGGAGCTGGGATGTGACTTGAACTTACATTTCCCTGTTCACCCTGCCTGGGAGTTGAATGTGACACTAATCTGCCCCAAGCACTGTAGTTGAGTTGCCCACCTGTCAGACATCTAAACTCCTCACCCACTGATGATGCGGAAGAACAAACCAGAAAGATCCCAGCTTGACTCCCAGCTCCCAGACTGGGTTTCTGGTGCTGGTGGGTAGGAAACAAATGCTCCTTCTTACTGTGATTCCCCACTGTGAAGTGAGCGACTCCACTAAAACAGGGCGTGGCATGTTCTAGACATCCCAGGCTAGATCCTCAGCTGGTGTTAATCAGGGCAGCTCCACTTCCTTCAGTGCAGCGAGGCCAATGTCCATCCGCTGCATGTCTGGCCCATCATCAATACTGCGCCCATCCACCAGAAAGGGTCATTTGAGGAGGTGGAAGAGGAAGTGGTGGTTGAAAGCAGGAGATGCTGAGGTAGATGGGAAGGGCTTTTTGCCTGCTGCTCACAAGGGAGTTGGCCATGTCACAGGCAGGCTGAGATCCATCTCGCTTTTGAGAGCCAGCTGCCCTGTGACACTCACTCTCTGTCCCCGGGGCTGAAAAAGGGCAGTAATCCCATTAAAGTCACCTTCTTCTTCCTCCCTCCCTGTAGCTGCTGGCTCAACCCGGAGAAACACATTCATTGGAGCTTCCTGGGACCAGTCTGTGCCATAATCCTGGTGGGTACCTCACAGAACCACAGGGCCCCATTCTTCTCTCACCTCTGCAACCCTGTGGACGCCAGTGGAGCCAACAGAAGAATATCTCCCAGAGAATTTAAGATGAAAGAGTCCTATAAGATCCCATGTCATCCACCCCTCTTTGGCCAGTGCAGGATTTCCCCCTAACACAACTGCCTACATTCTATGGAGTCAGTCAGGGTGAATGGGTCATGCACTGGGTTGTGAGTCAGGAGACCTGACTCTGCCACTGGCCTGCTGTGTTAACTTGGGAAGTAGCTTCCCCTCGCTGTACCTCTGTTTCTCCTCCCACCCTTTGTCTGTCTTGCCCATAGGCACCGAAAAAAATAGTGGATGCTCAGCACACATTGGCAGCCAGCTCCCCCACTCATCCCCCCCCCCCATGCCTCCCGTCCACTGGCAGCCACGCCGATTAACTCCTCCCCCTCCATCACATCACCTCCGGCTTGCCGCAGTCAGCTGTTCTGAGTTGTGCTGGAGGGGAGGGGATGGATCTGGGTGGGAAGAGTTGGGGCAGGGGTGGGAAGAGGCGGGGGCTTGGAGAAGGGGTGGGGGCGGGGCTTTGGGCGCAGTGGGAGGTTGAGCAGCCCGGGGGAATCCGGTGCCTGTGGTCTTGCCTGTTATTTTGCTAACAAATGCTCCAGGATAGGAGCTGCCCCTTTCTAGGTGTGAATACAGAACCCAGTGCAGTCTCTGTTGGAGCCTCTAGGTGCTACCATAATATGATTAATTATAATATGTAATTACTCATGCAATGTTGCTGTGGAAGCAAGTGGAACGTCTGCCAGAATGATGATAGTTTTGTCCCTTGCCTTGTCCGGCCTGGCTGGTAAATAACCCAAGTGATGGGAGAAGGGAAGGTAGCTGCAGCGTGGGGAGTTTGAGGATGGAAGGGTACATGTGTTGTAAGAGATAAAGCAATGTCCTTGCAGATTCCTCCCCAGCTCAGGCAGCAAGTTAAGAATTAATTTCAGCCTCAGAATTGAAGGGAATACTCTATAGTCAGGATCTAGAAGCTTTGGGCCAAATCACTTGGCTCTAAATCTGGAATAACTGCAGATCCCATTGGAATCAGTGGAGTCACTCCAGATTCAGAAAAGAGCAGAATGTGGCCCTCTGGCTGTATGATCACATCTGATGCATTGTAGCCCTGCCCCTGCCAACAGTTCCCTACACAGCCTGGGACCAACGTCTGGCAGGGAATGGTGTGTGACCCACCTTGACGAGCAGTCACTGGTGTGCAGCAGTCTGATCCCATAGGATTGTTCCATGCCTCAGCCAGAGAGATTGGCCTTGGGTGGCATGTTTTACAAGGAATATTTCATGCTGTTTCCACAGATAAATTTAACATTTTTTCTTGTAACCCTCTGGATCCTGAGAGACAAACTCTCCTCCCTTAATGAAGATGTGTCCACTCTCAAAGACACCAGGTAGGACAGCACTAAATCTACCAGAACAGGGGTGGGCAAACTTTTTGTCTTGAGGGCCACATCTGGGTGCGGAAATTGCATGCAGGGCCATGAATGTAGGGCTGGGGCAGAGGGTTGGAGTGCGGGATGTGGGAGGGGGTGTGCTGAGCAGGAAGGGGCTCAGGGCAGAGGGTTGGGATGCAGGAGGGAGTGCAGAGTGTGGGAGGGGGCTCAGGGCAGGGGTGCAGGGAAGGGTGCGTAGTGTGGGAGGGGGCTCAGGGAAGGAGGTTGAGGTACGGGGTCCAGGAGGGGTTTGGGGTGCAGGCTCTGGCCCGGTGCCACTTACCTAGGGTGGCAGTGGCACGCAGCAGGGCTCAGGCAGGCTTCCTGCCTGCCTGCCCTGGCCCCGCACCACTCCCGGAAGCGGCTGGCACCACATCCCTGCAGCCCCGGGGAGGCAGGGGGCACCCTGCGCTGCCCTCGCCTGCGGGTACTCCCACTGGACGTGGTTCCTTGTTCTGGCCAATGTGAGCTGTGGGAGAGGGGCGGGGGGCAGTGCCTGCAGGTGTGGGCAGCATGCGGAGACCTCTGCTCTCCCCTTCCTCCAGGGGCTTCAGGAACATGGTGCCGGCTGCTTCTGGGAGCAGTGCAGGGCCTGCCGCACCACGGGCGTGGCAATCCCATGGGCCGGATCCAAAGCCCTGATGGGCTGGATCTGGCCCATGGGCCATAGTTTGCCCACCCCTGTATTAGAAGAGTCCAGTGAGCCTCCTGTATGGGAATTCCTGTGGGATTCTACACAGATTACTGCCACCATACAGCTGAGCACATGCCACTGTAGGGTTTCCAGGTTATCTTGCGACCTTCTGCTTGATGAGAGAGTAACAGTCTCACTGCCCAAGGAACTGATAAACCCCAAGTCACATCAGCAGTCCCTTACTCGTGAGTCCTAAAGTTGTCCATGGGACCATCTGCCAAAATAAGGACAATTTGCATGAATAAGGGTATGCTGTATTGGACCTTAAATTAGACACAGCACAGCCAGGGTTGAATTGAAGGGTCAGGTTAGGAGAGAGGAGAGGTCTATGGCAATAGAGGATAATCATGGGAGATACTTTTCTGCCATGTGCATCATGTTGGTCCCTGGATGGATATTGAGATGACAGATGCAGTCTGTTCCAAAGCCCGCTGAAGTCAGTGGAAGTAATGGTACGGAAGAGACTGCTAGATCAGTGGGGCTCTTGCAGTAAGTCCTGCGGCACATTCAGATTGTGGCATGCAAATGGTCTTTAAAGCAGCTCATTATGAAATCTGTTTGTTTGGGAGGAACAAGATCAGGGCTGCCAACTGGGAGTGCTGGATGGAGACATGAGAGGGGAAAAAGATTTTGGAACCAGATCAGAATGTTGAGGCTTCAGAGAGCCATGGTGTTACTTACTGCATGTGCCTAGAGCTGTGTAAGGAGAAATGCAAGTCTGTGCTGATATTCAGAGCTGGGCCATGTGCTACTTAGGGAGGAAACTCATCTCTTTTCCGTGGGGCTGTGGATACTGTCGAGGTAAAGTGCCATCCATTGAGGAGGGGAAGATGTGTGTGTGGGAAGATGGTTGGGCACGATATTGTATTTCGGATTCATAGGCATATGTTGCCATTGTGTTCATCTTGACAGTAACCCTAAGACACACTAAAGCGGGTGCCAGCTGTTTTCCCCCACACTGCCCTGAGCCACCTGACTCAGTCACTCACCACAGGGTCGTTATAACAGGATCTCTCCGTCTGCCTTTATCCAGACTACTGACTTTTAAAGCTATCGCCCAGCTATTCATTCTGGGCTGCACATGGAGTCTTGGTCTCTTCCAAGTCAACTCAGCAAAAATGGTCATGGCGTATTTATTCACCATTGTCAACAGCCTGCAGGGAGCCTTCATCTTCCTGGTGCACTGTCTCCTCAATCGCCAGGTAATGCCCATGGCGCGTCATCAGCCACCCAGTGACTTCACGGGCTTAGCAGTGGCCTGGTCTGAGGGTGTTAGTTACATGATGTAGTGACCATGTCCCTTATTCTCCAGGTGAGAGAGGAGTACAGGAGATGGATTAAAAGCACAAGAAAACCCAGCCCCACAACTCAAACGTTTAGTCCGTCCGGGTCCACTGTCACTATCAGCACCAAGATGGTAAGAGATCCTCTATTCCGTTCCAATACCAGCATCCAAAAGTCGCATCCATCTGGGTCTGTTGTAGCTCCTGAGGTGCCTTGTCCTCTGAGTGACACATGCTTGTTTTAATACATCTGAGAACGGCATTGGGAGTCTTAGTGAGATTCAATTTCATCCAAATCAAGGGGGAATCCCAGGTCTCCTAGAACCCAGCACAGATCTCCTCCTTTCTTGCGCACCTCCAGGTTCACTTTCCTTTGCTTCTTTGCAGGCTCCATACATCACTCACTCTGGAATGCACTCGGAAGGTGTTGGCTTTGACACAAATTCAGGTAATTATCCAATTGTGGAAGCTTGCAAATCAAAACCTGGGTGGAAATCTTGTCAGTGCAGATGGGCCATACCCAACGAAGAGTTAGCACTGGATGGAATTTCCTCTGGCTCCGTTACCTCTACTGGGAAAGAATCCAGAAGCTTTCTCTGGAGGGAAAAGTGGAGCCTTATGTCTGGAAAAACCTCCCTGGTTCAGTCCCAGCACGAGAGGCCACAACCTTTGTCTGCAAGTGG